GTATACAGCCACGAACCACCTCTTGACACCATTTACAGCGCTTCAACCGGATGAGATATACAAGGACTCCTTTAACTATCATCTATCCCAGATCCGCATTCGCATCAAAATGGCATTCGGGTTGTTAACTCGCAAATGGGGCATATTTCATCGCCCACTGCAACTTCGTTTGGCTACGGCTACGCTAGTGATCAAATGTGCAGCAACTCTACACAATTTCTGCATTAACGAGCGTCTGGAAGGTACGCGAGACCCAGTTTTGGAGGAGCTTCGCAAGATGCAACGCGATCAACGATGCTCTCTTAGGTCTTTGCTTACATTTGACCACGACGACACTATTGAAAGACCGACAACTAGCTTCGTTCGAGATGGATTAGTTGAAAAACTCCGTAGACGACACTTGCTACGAGCAAACTAGAACATTTGCATGTTCCCATCACTAACTTAGTTTTTATCCATCTCCGCCAGCCAACGTTGAACGAGTCCATTGACCTTTTGCTCGAGCGTTTGCAACATTTCGTCACTGGCATTGCTCTCCTTGAGCATTTTCAATGTTGCTAAAGCACTTTGAACCGCAGTAGGTGCCCTGGTTACTGAATTGTAGCCTGACGCTCGCTCCTCCAGCTCTTCTTTATGCTCGGACTCCAGCATGTTTACGATGCGATCGACTGGGCTAAGAAGACGGCGCTTCTTTCCACTGGAGCTTCCGCTGCTTGACGATGAATCGACGTTACTCTCCACGGATCCAGGCAACGTGGACATTTGAGCCCTCTTTGCAATTCGACCTCTCACCCCTTCCAATTGATTCGGCCGCAGTTGAAGCCAATCGTGCAGATAGAGAAGGTCGATGCGACCCTGGCAATAACTGAAGAAATCCTGCTCGTTATGTCCCGAAAGTTTCGACTTACCACGAACTACCGTGTAGCGTGCAGTAAGCTTCTTCCACATATCCAACAGCTTAGCGCTTGAGTGGTTGACGGCTTGTGATGGCTGGATACCCTGATATTGTGGCCGCTCCTTCTGCTCCAAACCATTGTAATTCTCCCTGTCCTCGTTGTAAGCCCGAGCTACATCCAACCAATACTGGCTGTTTTCGTTGATGGAGTGCTTGTCGACGTTCGCTCTGTCTTGGTTTCGGTCCGCCTCAAACATGCGATCAACAAATTGGGGGCTAAACAAAACATTTATCAATCGAAAAGCATCATGCCGCTCCACGCGAGGCTCACGCTGCGACGTCTCCGGGTCATCTGCCTTAGTTTCTCCTTCCTTGCTAGGCCCTATGAGCGCGGCGAACCCCCCTTCCGCTTTATTCGAACGATACTTGCACAGTAGGTCGATGTAGCCGGCCTTGTTGTCCACGGCGGACGAGCGGCGTTGCGATTTAAGCTTCAGCTTAGCACACGCGGAGCGCAACTGCTTCGAAAGGTATGGCTCGAGAAGTGCACGCAAAGCCCCATCCTCGCCGTCTGCAGGGAACACATTGACGAGATCGATAATGACCTTGTCCATCCGCTTGAACTCTTGGAAGTCAGTTTGGAGACTGCGAAAATTGAGCCGCCTCGACGAGGCCCTCGTCCTGCCTGCGGGGGAACGTGCAGTCTGCAGGATGCCGAATGTTCCGGCATCCCACCTGTTTTGGCAGGATGTCCCACTCCAGTTCCCGCCGGACGGCAGGACAAATACGCGGCGCTGATTGGTGGAGAGGCCAAGATCCTGCTGGATCCGGCGGATCTAGCACTAAAACCACCCACCCTCAGCGTCAAGGCTCTGCCTCGACCCGAGCTAGCTAAGTAATTGATAAAGATGCCTCTTGAGCATCATGTAGCAGTCCTTATATGCCTCCGTGTGATCGCGGCCGTCTGTAGGCTAACCAAGGCTGCATTAGCTACGTAGTCCTGTCGTTCCCACCGCTTATTTGATGTTGGCGCCAACACGACACCAAGCGCGGCGGTGAGCATCATCCACCGATCAACGCCAACGCGTCATCATCCAGAAACGGGTCGCTCGGGTATATATCTTCGTATTTTTCGGCGTTATATTAGCCGTCAGGTACGTTGCACCATTTTGTTTCGTCCAGTCACGATAGTTGAGGGTCGCCATCGCCTCAATCGTACATAATGTTCGCTTAGTAGCCGATCAAATTAAAACATTAAATGGCGATCTTTTCGCCCTTTTAGGTCGCAGGCTCACTATTCCAACTGCATCTTCTGAGATGTGCTCATCCTCCCGTCTCTACCTAGAGCTAAAGGGCGAAAAAATCGCCCTTTTGCCTTGATTTGACTAAATCTTGTATAATATAGCTCCGACGAGCCTATAGTTGCTCCTCGCGAAAGGGTTAATCTCAGCGAAACGTAACTTATGCTTCTTCATGCGTTTGCGCTAGCGTGTAAGCCGACGTAGTGGACTTAAAGTCGGCCCACTATATTCCAAGAGAACAGGAAAGAAAGGCGTTACAAGGCCGGCCAAGAGAGCGGTCGACAGCAGAACGTTCCAAGACAGAACAGCAGGCTCCAAGGACAGTGCTTCAACTGTGCCCAAGTGGGCCACATGAAGCGATACTTATCCGTTGATAACAGTGTCAGCAAGGATGATGCACCGTTAGCAGCTGTAGTAAGTGTGACACGCTCGACCGGATGGCTGATCGACAATGGGGCAACTTCGCACACTCGCAGGACGGACTTGGTTGAATACAAGGACCTGAACACTGGCAACGCCGTGACGATCCCAGATGACAACAAGCTGTGCTTCGAAGGCACGGGAAAGATTCAGCTGAATGGTCTGGACGGAGGCGTCATTCGTATAGTCGACGTACTGTACATTCCGGGGTTCGACAGACGGTTACTGTCTGTGGTGAAGCTCGGAGAACGCGGTTTGCGCGTGGAGTTTCAGCGTTTATCATGTGTGATCGGGAACGCCTGTTGTGTGATCACCTTACACAACGCAACAGCGCCAGACTTATAAAGCTCGCCCAGGCACCTCTTTACAAATACTGCAGGTAACAGGTAAGGGGCTGCCACGCTTAGAACTGATATGCGATCATTGTCCACTTTGGGATTCTTCCGCTCTGTTCTTGGTACATGTACTACATTGGATAATTATCAAGCGAATTCGATATCTCTTCAAGTGGCTTTTGTTCCCGCCCAATTGCAGTCATCATCTCCCAAACTTCCAGCCTTTATTTATTTCTAGTCTAAGGTTGAACTGTTTTTGTGCAGCTGATTGTTTTTTAGTACTTTTTAAGTGGCTAAAATCTTGGGTCTTCGGCTAACCTTTTACCCAGGCTTATCGTAGTAGTAGCGGATGGCCCACTCTCTTCGTTTTCCCCACGACGCGCCCAACATTAGCGCGTTTTTGATTCCCAAGGCTGCTTGTTTCGTTTTGCCATACTCTCAGACTCTGGTACGACAAGGTGGGCACTCCATTCGCAATAGGATTTGCAGTACTCTTCTTAGTCCTCCCAATTTGGATAAAAGTGACGCAGCTTCTTGCTCCCACTAGACGCTTTCTGTCCTTGGAAGACGTCGACAGAATCTCTGTCCTCACCCGCGCCACAAACAGAGTGGTCGCCTCCTCTTCTTCGCGGCCGGGCTCAGAATAGCCGTCGCCAAGCTTAAAAGCTGAGTATTCAGCATCTTCGCTGTCACAGCTTTGTGTCTGCTGGCGCCTTACGCTTCATTTCTCGAAAACCACGCAAATTAACTTGGAGCGCTTCGTTGAAGGCTGTTGCGCGATCAGCTACCTTTTTCCTGGGATATGTAGATTTAGTGGAACAGATGCACATCTTTTTTCATTTATGCAGCTAATGTACAGCCTGATCAATAAACCCGATCCAATAAAATGTATATCCTGGCACCGCTATGCAAAAAAAATCGTAGGCTCTAGTTTTTCTTTTTAAAATAAACCTATTCATATCGACATGGTGTCCAGGGTTTTTCGCGTCCTACTCATGTTGGACAGAAGTTCTGACGCCTTTTCTCTACACTATAAGAAAAAAATCTGTATTACGCGCATATAGGTGTAATATTCAAGGTAACTGTTATTATGGTTTTCATCCGTTATGGCAAAACAGACGGTCCGAGATCCATTATATCGGGCCTGATTTGCAGAATGACTCCGATTTAGAAATAGAGGAAATGTCAGATGGATATCTTGGGTTGCTGGTCACTCAGAGCTGTGATGCATGAGCCAGAATTTTCGCCTTTCGACGGCATACCCTGTAGGTCTAAAATCATTACTGAGTTCACCTTCTTCAACTATCACAATTTTATTGAGTTGCCATCTGCGCTCATTATGTCGTTTACTTGGCAATCGGAATGCTACTAACTATTCCATGTTATCTAGTGATCTCGCCTATAGTCGCCAACAGCGTCCTGCTGATTCTTAAACCCATACGTCTGATCAGATATAGCCAATTCTGGCCAGTTTGCCTTAAACCCTATGGGTTTTAGCTAAAACAGACTCAGAGATGAGATAACAAATCGGGCGGCATCATTGATGAAGCCCACCATATATCAGGGTTGTTCACTTTCAAACTAGATGAAGAGGCTACCGATGTAAATGTATAGTTTTAGGCACACGAAATTGGACCAGGCGAGACTCTTAAAATTCTTGCCGCATCACAACGAGAATAAAAAAGCGCGTGATTGTTGTTTGTGTCGTTTTGGGAAGACATTAAAAACACATTTACCCAAGTGATGTTGCTTAAGGGATGCTGGGTTATAGATAAAAGTGAAAGTGAAAGACCATAAAACTATTAGTTTTAAATGGGAGTCAGGCACCAAACATAGCTACTGAAAATCTCAGCCTTTGCGAAGCTGTAGTCATGCTACGCTTTAGGTAGCCACCAGAGCCGAGCTGTCCGTCTTTTAATTTTTAGGAGAAAAACACATCGCCCGATTCACAGGTAGAGTTAAAATTGCAAAACATATATTTTTCAAACCTCTTGGATTACACAACGCACTTGAAAAGTTGAACATATTTCGATCCAACCTGACAATGCGTTATTTTTCCCAAATCGAGTGGGTTGTAGTACCGCCATGCCGACGACCTCTGTACACATAGTACGTCAACGCGGCCTTGATATTCTTTTCAAAGTACGCATCATTGAATGGCACATTGGCAAAATCACCAAAATCGGTGTTTTCCAAGGCTTTGCGAGCCGCATCCGTCAGCTGAGTCCACTGGATGAGGTCTTGGTATTCCCCTACCTCGTGGAACTGAAAAATGGTGTGCCACCTGTCCCGATCGTTCTCATCGTACCGCACCTTCGCCGTGATGCCGTCGATGATGTCCGATCTCTTGGGTGGCTTATTGATCACATACCCAGTACCAGACGTCGACGCCGAGGTTGCTAGAATTGTCGGATTAGCGATAGCTGGATTGTCAAGCCACACAACCAGGTTCACCCAATCGTGGCGAACACCCTTCTTGATAATGCCTAGGTTCTGCATGTCTTTGGGAAATACCAGAA